GCTCATCCGATGCCCATGGTGACGACAACGCTGATCTCTCGACAAGACGTGCGAGGTAGCAATGATTCTGCATCGTCATAAGGAGGTTTCCCTTGCGCGATGTGACGGTGTGCACAAACTTCCTCAAGCCTCGCCGTGTCTTGGCATTTCCAGCAGCATCGCTCCAGGGGGCATAATAGCTATCGCTCACATTGGTTTTTAAAACGTGAGCCACAGTTCGCGATCGATGGGCCATCAAGGGGACGGATAGATTAAAGCTGCCTAATGCGAATGCATGGAAGGGAAGGCGGACCACCTTGCCTTCTGACGATATCGCGGAGCATGCGTCCGTCGGTCGTGCCACGTTGCCGGGCTCGACGACCGGCCGCTTTGCGGGACCGACCTAAGCCTCTCTTGGCGCTTGCACGACTTGGATTATGCGCGGGTAGTAAGCGAGGGTGCTTTCTTATTCTTGTATTATTCGCACCATACAGTAATGTACGAGCGTGTGCTACCTGCGCATACATGCACACCGCTGATGGTCATGCGTCTCCATGGATCGAGCGGGTCGTCCGGGTCTGGGGAGGACGGATTGACCGGCCGAGCCGCCGGTGCGATCTCGTCCCATTTGATGAGGCGAATTCCTCGACGCTGGCGCTTCATGTCGAATTTGCGGACTATGTTGGGAAATGTCAAAACAGGGGCGTCAACCCTGGATACGTTTGCGTTCAGAGCAGGATCGGTGAGTGCAGTAAAAGCGGTATTTTATTACCAAATACAATTACAAATACAAGTACGTAGTCGAAAGTCGTGAATAAATTTTACTCACGACCTTCTACCACGTTATTGCTACCACGTAAAAGATAATAAAACCATTTTAACTCTATAAAAAAGCAACAGGAACCCAAGTTTTTTAGGAGTATTACTTGGCTACTTGTTTAGGTAAAACGTTCCCGAGGTGTGCACGCCGCAAAACGACACGCCAAGCAAATCACAAACCAAAGCTCTCATTGTGCATTTTGCCATACACTGCAATGACGTTGAATTGGATGCCACCGCATAGCCCAACGACGGCCGAAGAACTCATTTGGTACACAAGCGTGCTCGACTCGCTGTTGTGGTGCTCATGCCAGCTCCTTCGATAGGTGGTGGTTCAGCGCGGCTACCGTCGTGCCGACAACCTCGATTCAATCGGTCTTGGATCTTGCGACGTCTCACATTGCGAGTCTCCCAGCTGATACCACTGTTCTGGTCGCCCTGCTCGAGGCGCTCTGCAATCAGGGGCCCTCTTCTCTCCGCACACCCTTCTCGGAGGCACCGCCCCAGAACCCGTGTCCTAACGAGGCGCTGGACTATGCGATTACGTGCATCTCCGCACTTCCGGTCGAGACGAATGTCGTCTTGAAGATGGCGCTCGACCTCCGCTACACACTGCCCATGCCGTCCCAATGCACGCGCCCCTAGTCTAGCCCATCGTAACAAAGTATATACAACCTATGTTTCGCGTTATCTTCGTTGTTACAAAAAGTTAGAGGCTAACAATCGCCTTCTTCTTCATTCGCTCACCGGGCCGTGGCTGCGCAGGCGGCGCCGCGGGGGCTCGTCTTGCTCTTATGTAGTCGTCCGGGGGCGCTTGTGGCCGCAGGTGAAGCCCATGACGACACCTTGCGTAAATTCCTTCCAAGCTTTGCCGTCGGCGGCAAAGCTACGCAGTTTTTTCAAGTCATCCAGCGACGCCAGCGATCGAGGCGGCGCCAACGACTGAGCCCAAACTGGTAGCTGCTAGCTGTAGCCACGCCGCTTTGCCGGCCTGCGCGAATGCTGGACGTCGGTATGAGGCTCGCTGTGGGCCACTGGGGCCATGACCACTGGACGTGCGGCCACGTCACTATGGGCTTGGCGACCGGTGCAGGAGCGTCGGCTAGCAGTAGCCACAGTCAGCGGTCAAGAGTGTGGCCAAGCTCAACCACAGCACAACTGGCCATGAGAGATACATGCCGACTGCGTCAAGTAGAGATCGAGGCATTGCCAAGTATGCACCGCGACCTCCGCGCTGCGCGGAGACGCTGCCAGCAACTCGAATCTCTTCTGGATCCTGGTCCGCTCTCCGATTGGCCAAAATCGTTTCTTTTTCCCGTATCCGGAGGCCAGCACCCATTCTCTTTCCCAAGACCATGTCGAGCAAGTGGGTCAACGTCGACTTCTCGGCCGACCACGCGCCAAGCCATGGTCCATCCACGGGCGT